ACCTAACATTGATGGATGAGAGATCCAGTTTCTTGGTTTATCATATCTGAAAACTATGGAAATTGATGAGAATTTCTGATCTTCCCACGTGAACTACCATGAAATGCGATCCATCATATTATCAATAAAGATCAGAGAGATGAGAGCCTTACACATAATTTGAATAGTTGTAATAAGGTTATGAGATAACTGATTTGAAGAAACATGGTGATGGTAATATCGATCAAGTTGTTGAAGCAACCTTTTGATAAGCTCGGGTTTCTCGATATAAATTTCTCGATTTTCAAGGATATGGTTGAGTTTTGAGGTGGGTGTTATGTAAGTGGTTGGGTTGGTGGTTTCAAGGGAGGAAATGGTCAATTTTACAGCAATGGGAAAAGAGGTGTGTTGGATGCAAAGTTTTTCATGAATGATGACAAGGTGCCTTTTATGACATGTGGGTTAATTACTTTAGCTTGTTTATTTTTCTATAAATAAACATGTTGTATTCATTTAGAAGTGTGGCAAGATGTAGTCATTGAATGAGTTGAGATTCCTTAGCTTAGGTTAGATAGATTTCAATCTTTTCGTTTTGTGATTTCCTCATCATAGTTGAATATGAAAAACTTGTTCACCTAATACATCTTTATGATTATATTCGTTCTTATATTCCACAAAATAAAATGATATTATTTGTCTCAATAATTTGTATGAGAGCGGGTACTTGAAGATCAAGGTGACTATTTCAAGTATTGGTTCGTGATTTAACTATTTCTAGACAATTCGAACAATTTTGGTATGTGTCTTGATTTTTGGAATCATATTCTCAATTTCGTGTTATTCATCATTCATATCTGATTGGATCTATTTCGATTCTTAGCCTAATCCAAATCATTTTATCAAACTGTTGTTGTTCATGATACATCTATTCAATCCCAAATTCACTCAGTGTCGTCTAATTATGTTCTTTACTTATTTTTTCTCATATCTTACTGATTCTCTTTCATCAATTGTAAACATATTTTATCTCATCTTTCAATCGATGATTGTTACATTTCTCACAAGAATTTCATTTGATATGGTTGATGTTGATCTGTTAATGTCTGGCTGATTCTGGTTTCTTCTCATTTCATTCTTTATTAAGTCGAGCTATCAGTGTTGTATTCAATTTTTTTTGATGATATCTTGAATTGAGAAAACAAAGTTCTTGCTATCTATTTGGAAAAATTTAAATAATATGAGGACAGTTGGGCCAATCGGCGGCCGATACTTATGATACTATTGCAATGGTCCACCCTCTCCTAAGTGGAACCCTAACTATAAAAGAGAAGGAACGTCTTTTTAACAAGGATATTCTCTAGAACCTTATCATACTATGCTCACTCATTCACTCTTCTCCTAAAATAACTTAACCGTCAGAGCGCCTACTCAGGACCTCCTCCCGGGGATCGAATGTTTAACTGTGGTTACAGGTTCCCGACGAAGATCCATCATTATCTAAATATCTCATCCACAAAACGATGCTACAACATTGGCTCCATATGTTGTATGCTAACATGAACAAAAACCACACAACAGACTTACATTGATAATGGCCATTGGGGAGGTAGAGGGGCTCATTGAAGGAAGTGAAGTTGAAATAAGCCCGATTCATCCAATGCAACTACTGGAACATCGTGTTGTAACATCTAGAATTATAGGAGAAGGAAGCCCCCTTAGGTTATAGATTCAACTTGCAAACCTTAACATCATCCTCTAGCACATTTTTGAACCATTGTAAGTGTCCAAGATTCAAGCTTTTTGGTTGCATGTTTCTAGATCTACGTTCCTTGTCCCTTTTCTTCATATTGTGGAAGTTTGGAGGAATAGATTCCATAAAGCTGACAACTTTATGGATCCTTGAGTTTCTTTTTGGTGTTATATGTTCAAAATCTAGAGTCCTATGATGTATTTGGTCTCATGCACACGTATGAGTTCATTTTTTCATGTTTTTACCTAGTTTGGGAAGAGACGTGTATTGGACATGCATATTCATAAGTACTGATTTTTATGGTAGTCTAGGAGTAGGAAACCCTTCTGGAAGTTATGGACTTGAGACTTTAAGGATTAAGTGCTTAATGGTTGAGTTCGTGCCTTAAGTTGTCATTAAGGACCTAGGTTTAGAGATCTTAGTTTATTGGGATGTCTTAATGGATAAATTTGGAAACTTTATCCATCAAGACCTTAGGAAGAATCAGATATGAGCTTTGGCGCTCATGGAATGGATTAACAATGGGTTAATCCATTAATTTGTTAAGAGCCGGTTCCCGCGATGTGATATCTTAGCCATCATAATATAGCGACTCGGGGCAAGCCGTCTATTTTGTCCTTATTCAACCACGATGTGGCCAGTAGGAGACCACAACATAATGACTCGCTGACGTTGACTTGGATAGTTGACTTTGAGCATTGACTTTTTGACTTGGTTGATTTTTGGTCAATTTATTAGTTTTGGAAGGTGTGACATCCCCAAATTTTTAGAACTAATTAAAACTTTTTCTTTACACCTTAATAAATTAAGATACAGAAATTCCCAGTCTAGTAAAACATTTTGAGATAACAGAAGTTATTTCGTTATATTAAAACTCTGGGACGTCATCGTTCATATCCAAACATACATTATAGCGTAAAAATAAAAATATCCTAAACTAATAACTTACAGGCACATCTCTTATTGCACTTGTCATCCTAATTAGACTTCGACAACCTTACATCCGTTACATGTAATGCACATAAAATGAGTGAGTCAGGTTTGGGAAACCTGATGAGATGCATTGGGTTTTAAAGCCTATGATATATTAATGATAATATATAATAACATTCCTGAAACAAACATTATATGTATAATCTGACATAAGGCCACCTACATTATCCAATCGATTCTCATAAATCCTAAAGAAAAAAATGTAATTTGCTGAATCATTTGACCAACTGCTTGAATGCAAAACTAGGGGAGTCCTTGGCCAGTGTAAGTCATATAAACGCAAACAATATTCAGAGTAACTGATAGATATGGTATCCTATTCTACATACGTATGTGGGTTATAAATCTATACTAGTAAAGTTAATTTACTAGACCGCCTAGAATAATTAACTGTTGTCATCTACTTTGGTCGATGAGCGATACATACTTGCCAATTTTCAAATATGGATCAACTATTTATGGTTATCCAAAAAGATGAGGACTACTACACTCCGCTCTGATCTCACACTCCACCCTTAGAATGAGACCTATCTAATACTCAACTTATTTGGCACTAATTACCCTATGTAAATCTATAAATATCTCGAACTATGTCTAAAGGCAATCTCATATCATTCCTAATAAATAGTACTACTAAACTTATACATATAACACAAATTAAACTTAATATAATTAGCATTTAATAAATATTTTTATCAAATTATGCTCTTGAAAGTAACAATGTACTTACCTGACAAAACTAGGTGATTATAGGTTAGGACAATGCTTTGCCTTAACACTGTTTTAAAAGACCTAGATCTATATAACACTAAGTCTTAGTCTATTTTCATATTCCTTGTGAATATATTAACAATAACATAGACTCCTCAATAATCCCGATGTCAAGATCAAGATCTTATACCAGGTAGGATCATATCGGAGGTATGGTCCATTTGGTATATAGAGTATACTGTTTAGAATTCCCACTTTAAACACCTCACTAAATCCAGTCTAGACATCACTCCCTTAAGTAGATCAATCAGTATAATGACTTCGAATCACTGATAAATCTTATTTATAGGCTCATTATAACGACTATGGCTATAAATATAAGTTACACTTAAAATAAAAATAGGGGTAACTCAACTTACAGAGTAATCTCAGGAAAACCGGGAATTATACGGGCATAACTCAAACCTGAGATCTTTTAATCTTCGCCTCTTTATAGTTGCAGGGCGTCCCTAAATTGGTTAGAAACTAGAGAGTAAAAGGGCTTGAGGGTGGAAAGTATTCCAGAGAGGTTCAGAGGAGATGTGTGAAGAGAATGACCAGAAAACACAAGTATTTATAGGCCAGAAAGGGGGGTGTGCCTTGCTTAGTGTTGGAGAAGAGTGAAATGCCATGTTCTTGGCTTGAGACATCGCGAAGTTTGGGTGGGGCTTTGTGGCTATGTCTATGGGCGCCAATCGAGTTGTCTCCGTGCATAAAAGGTTAATTTTGTTAGAAAATTCATATCTTTTTGCATACGAGCTCCATTTTTGATGTTCTTTATATCCACGTATAACTATCGATGAGATCTACAACATTCATTTAGACTACATCATCTATTTTCACTTTATTTTTAAAGCAATATTTTTAACAGAATTAGACTGTTGACACTAGAAGAAAAATACCCTTTAATGACATGCAAACAATGACACTCGCTGATTTACGGTACACATTTTTGTGTGTCCGTAAAAATAATGGCAGCCTTCGAAAATTTGAAGGATAGAGGACGCGTATTTTTGTGTGCCTTAAAATTAATGTCCAACAAAAAAAATACAAACAAGGAGGGCATTTGTTTTAAATGCGTGTCCTCTAGAAATGTTGGTTTATATATTTTTTTTTATCAAACGCCTGATTTTAAAAGGGCAAAAATGAAATGCTCTGAAATTCTAAAATTTTGAAGTGCCCACTTCTTCATTCGCTCCTCTGTATCTCCCTGCATCCACTCATTCCTACGACTTTTTCAAAAAGCATTCTACCTAGGGCTTTTTCAAGAAAATTCAAAACGCTCTCCGATTCTCGATCGGTTCTCCTAGGCCTCTACCACAATCGAAGATCTCACTTCAGGTTACTTCTGCTCCTGTGAGCATAGGATCACCTCCCCATGCCCATCCTCCTCGTCATAAAATCATCCAACTAGGGATTTTTTTCTCGATCTCTTCAGATCCGTCCTCCCAAAATAAGGAAGAAACTAGTTTGATTTCTCCCCTAAAACCTGGATGACCATGCTCCTAGCTTCCATCACCGTCCCAAGATGTCTTCAATGTTCCTCCCTCAGTGTCTTCCATCAAGTAAGTTGTCGGACCATCTCATCTACTCATTTTTTACTATCTTTATTCTCGCTCTCTTTTTTTCTCAATTTTTCTTCTCCTTTCTCTATTCTCTGTTTTTTGTTGAATGTTGTGGGCAGTTAGAATCCAGGGGAACAGTAGAGGAGAGTTGAATGGTAGTGGTACACCACTACATTTAGGTGTAGGTGTAGGTTAGGGAGGGTTACCAACACCAACAACCCTCATCGTATCCCAATACCCTCATGAAATCGACTCAATGTACGTCACCATGCTCATAACCACTGAATTCTTGGGTAAAACCACATTATCAAGGTATGGGTTTTACATCTAATTTCACCTGTGATATTTAAACTTTTTTTAGTTGTAAAAGATCAGATCTAAAGATTTCTGCTGTTCGGATCTTCTAATTTCTCATTTCTACTGGTAACCTCTTATACCTTCTTTCCTTTTGAGTTGTTCAGATCTTCTAATTTCTCACATTCTACCCCTGTTTAATCTTGTTAGTGTTATCCAATTTCAGCTTCATTCGGTCTGATCTATTTGTTTTGCGTTTAATTAATGGATGTGGTTTACTTAGTTAATTGAATTTTAGTTAAATCGCAATGGAAGGATTAGGTCTCATAGTTGTAGATTGAAATGAAAAATTTTAAGGAAAAAAATTCAAAACGAAGCCTTAAATCATTAATTTAAGGCTTAAATCAAATTTTTTTTTTATTTTCTTCCAACCTTGCTTCAATTTATCCTATTTTATTACTTATAAACTTCTGGCATATCCTGTTCTTCTTGATGGATTCAACAAATGCATGTGCAGATCTTGGAAAACCACAATCCAGGGCTGGAATAATTTCAGAACCAATCTCATGCCCTTCACTCACATTTGCATAAGGAATCTCAGGGGTAATGTTATTGGATAAATCCAAATTCTGATTGGTGTTGCTTCCATCTACAGAATCTGGAAACCCTTGTCCATTGTTAATACTCTTTACAAAAAAAAATTAGGGGAAGATTCCTTTTCCAATTCTATGTTAGTTTCACCAACCTGCTCTCGTCTCTGTACATAACTCTCCTTATTGCTGTTCTTGCTATCTGGTTCAAAAATCAATAAACAAATTTTAGTTGTATAAAATAAACCATATACAACGAACTAAAACAGCTTCAGTAAGTGGCAACAATGAAGCAGACAGGAAGCATTGCATCCATGTTCTGTGAGCATGCATCTATGTTAATTGCAACAATAACTTACGAACAAAGACTGCATGGTCAAGTGATGGAGAAGAATTTACTTGTGTTTCTGTGTTGAAGAAATCAAAGAAAAAGTAAATGAAAAGGCGAACGATGAGCAAAACAAAGTTATTGTTCTTGAGAAGGAAGAGGAGAAGAAGATAAATTATAGCATGAAAGTTGAGAATGTGTCAAGTGAAGTGGGACCCGATGTGGATCTTTCAAGATAGAAAGTGTCAAAGGAGGAACATCATTTTCTTGCTCAAAATCGAGTTTAATTCTAAATTATTCATTCTATCAAATATATTAATACATAGGTATATATATTAATATATTATCAGATACAAGAGAAGGGAGAGAGGAAAGATTGTGAATTCATACTCTGCTTAAGATCTTGAAGGAATCCTTGTATGTTTTCCTATTTTTGGTCTACAACTATTACCATATTCTTCTTTGTAATTGAATATATTGACATTTAGAAAATTTGGATATTTTTTTTAGGTAAAAAGACTAATGTGAGTCCAGAGCCTGAGTCTCTTTGTTATGAGGATGGAGAGCTAGAGCTGGTAGAAGCATCTGATAATCTTGAAGCACGGGGTAATTATGTACTACATCTGTTCCTTTAGAAAGGAATCCAAGTCTTGCGAAATCATATGCTATTTCAGCATAATCGTCATTTACAGCATGGACAAAAGCATCAATTAAATTTTTTTTTGCTGAACAAAAGCAAAAAAAAAAAAAAAAGGTTGATTTTTCAAACTACAAAACAAATAAATGAAAGTAAGATTAAGAAAATACCTAGCTTAACTGAGCAACATTCGCAAAGCAGTGCTAACACCAACAATCAAAAATCCATTTACATCAATACCAGCTTCCTTGATAGCCTGAGATAAACAAACATCACCAAATATTGTGTTTAAAGGATTAATGATTAAATGTTTGGCATCTTATATTTCCATGTGTTCTAAGCTTAATGTGTTATGGGATGTTTTTTAACCCCATTAAGTTGTGTAAGGGCAAAGTGGCTGAACTGACAATGATGTAAAGTCTTATATACATACGGTTTGTTTTTCTAGACTGAATACACTATCTAAATGAAAATAAATGATCATTTTATCCTTACATTATAAAAAAAAATTAAGTAAAAAGGAAACAGCCATATATAACTATCTAGATTAAGTGCGAACTGTAAGAGACGAAAATTAGTATACTACTCTAGAATTTAAAAACTAGATTTGATCTGCTTTTAATTCTTTCATGCTTATATTGTTCCCAGCTTTGATATATTCTGAAGTCAGAAATCCAGAGGCACAAGCTACCGTATTAGAAACCCATACATGTATCATTTCCAAATGTATGTATACCTTAATTTGATAGAATTCTTCAGAAGAAAAATCTTGTCATCCTTGTTTTGGAGGTGAAATTTAGGATGATGCTTTGATCTTTTGCAGGTGTGGTTATTGGTAACTTATGCTCACTGTGAGGTTGAAAAGTCATCTATGGAGATATGGTGGCTGCAGAAAATGATAAGCCAAAAGATGTGGTAGTTGTTGATCATTCACTGAAAGATATTGTAACTGACAGAGCCTCAAAGTCATCTTCTCGCAAACTGAAGGATGATGTTCAATACCAAAATGAGAACAGTGTATCTGAAGACATTATAGCTGTTGGAAGTGAAATGCATAAATGTGTTGATAATGACTGATTTTGGAAAATCGTTTATTCTTTTTTGAAACATTTCTAGGATCTTATTAAACAATATATTTTTAGATTAATAAGTTTTAGAAGAATTAAATTGGCAAATCGTTTATTCTTTTTTGAAACATTTCTAGGATATTATTAAGCAATATATTTTTAGATTAATGACTGATTTTGGCGAAAGGGATTTTATTCCTCTAGGTGTAGTTCTTTATTTCTCATCTTATTGGATTTATTTATCAAAACATTACTAAGTTATATGAAAAGCTTATTCTGTACATCAGAATGCAATTCACATATGAAATTCGAGAGGGTGGGAGAAAACGGGTTCTCTTGGCTGAGGGGTATATCCGGTATTTGGTTACCCGTTAGTGGTGAACTCGGCTGTTTACAAGTTTGCATGGGTGGGGTGTTTGAGTTTTACTATGCTAATCGGTAAAAGGTAAAAGGTAAAAGTGAGTTGGCATCATATCATAGCATAATATCATATATTGATTTGTTATCATATATGAGTGGTTGTATGATCAATGTTTGTTGACACAAATATATGAAATGTGTTTCATTATTAGATGAGATGCATACTGATACGTGCACGTTATTAATGCAGAGGATTGATGTTGATCAAATATTACATGAATTTCAAAACAATAGACATACACAGAGCTTGGACACCAAATTCTTTTCTTTACAGGTGACTATCTCTATCTTCTTGGAATGCATCTAACAACCATTTGTTTCTATTACAAGATTACTACATATCACAAACTTATGTATTACCTATTTTTCAACAGGATGGCATGAAAAACTACATATACGATGTTTTGTAAAGGTATGGAATTCTATAGGTCTATTTTAAATTCTCCATATGTTATATTCTCAAAATTTAAACTAGATCAACTTTTTTTCTAACTTTCGTGTAACTTTTGCTGCAAACCCATCTTTTCTTGAAGAAGCTCTTGATAGAGTGAAGTGTCTTTACCAAAAGCATTCTCATCAGCAAAAGGTTAATATTCTCTTAGAAAGGAAATTGTCAAAGGTTAATTTAGTCATGAGTTTCTTTTAATGTTGTACATGTTTTGTTTTCTATAATAAATATTATGCAATATTAGCAATGTGTTGCATTTACTTACTATTGGAATGATTATTTGTATTTGACATATTAGTGCAATGAGTTATCTTTATTGTTTATGTTATTTTATTTTGTATTATGAGACTTTTAATGTGTGTTATTAATTTGAAAATTAGTAACTCTATCAAAAATATATAATTTTAAAAACATTTAAAATTATGACACGCAAAAATGCGTGACGTATTCCTTTATGACAGGGGCTTCCTTGATACGCATTGCGTGTCATCAACACGCCTGTCCTAAGGTTACAACACGCAAATGTGTGTCGTATTCCTTTATGACAGGGCCTTCCTTGATACGCACTGCGTGTCATAACTGTGCGTCGTAAATGTGTGTCATAAATACACGTCGTCTGAGCGTTTTACGACACGCATTGCGCGTCGTAAAAGGCTGTTTTTCTAGGAGTGTGACACCCATATAAAAATCATAACTTTGTCATATAATATACATTCTTAACTATCTTTATCTCAACGGATAGGTATTGATGAGATCTTAAACTCTGGCCTGGATTGTTTTTCCTAACAATTGACTGATTTCAAATTCGGTTTTAGATCAAGATACTATTACGCTAAAACTTCGAAATATCATAACTTCCTCTCACTTAGTTAGATTTAGGCGTTCTTTATAAGCATGGATTCTCTTTTTTAATTACTACAAATTTTGTTTAGATTATTTATCCAAAATAATATTTTTTTTTATTTTTATTTATATTTTAGCCCTATTTATTATGTTTTGATGTAAGATTTCACACAGATATCACGTACACCTAATATCTTTAACATTCACATAAACACACACACGCACACACACACACACACATATATATATATATATATATATATATATATATATATAATTTACTTTATTTATTCTCAAAATTTTACAATAGTTAATCGACAAGGTTACAGGTTTAATAACTAAGTGTAGCAGGAAACATGGGTGTTACAATTCTCTCACCCTTAGGATGACTCCGTCCCGAAATCATGAATGAACAAATAGATGTGGATAGCGACTTTTATCATCACTCTCTATCTCCCAGGTGGGGTTTGGCCCTATTGAATGTTTCCATCGCACTAGCACTAAGTGGATCATCTTGTGTCGTACATTCTTTCCCTTATCGATAATGATTTCTTAAGGATCTTCGATTAGCCCTTTATCCTCATTAATTATTAATTCTGAAGGTGGGATCATATTGGGTTCTCCTTCCTCGCACTTCCTTAAATAAAAAAAATGAAAGGTATTGTGAATACCTTCCAGTTCATGCGGTAATTCAAGCTTGTAAGCATGTTTACCTAATTCCTGAAGTACTTTGAATGGTTCAATAAAACGAGGACTCAATTTCCATGTTTTCCAAATCTTACAATCCAATTCCATGGCGAGACTTTAATTAAGAATTGATCGCCAACCTCAAACGTTACAGGTCGACGTTTTTTTATCTGCATAGGTCGTCAGGCAATCTTGAGCAATTAGCATTGTTTGTCGGATGATTTTCACTTTAATAGAGGTTTGTTAAACCATCTCAGTACCCGCAAATTGTTCTAAAAGATGGTGTATGACACTTCCTTCTATACAATGCGTCATAAGGAGGCATGTTGATGGTTGAATGATAACTATTGTTGTAGGCGAATTCTACTAATGGTAGGTGACCATTCCAACTACTAGTGAACTCTAAAGCACATGCCTACAACATATCCTCCAAAGTTTGGATAATTCTCTCATTCTGACCGTCATTTATATGGATGATATGCAGTACTTAAACACAACTTTGTGCCCTTTTTTTGCAGACACTTCTAGAATGTGGAAGTAAATCGACTGTCTCTATTTGACACCGTCGGTAAGGGTACCCCATGAATCTTGACAATCTGCTTTACATAGGTCTGTCCTAACTTCTCCATAGACCAATTTTCTCGTGCGGCTATGAAATATGCACTCTTTATCAATCAGTCTACTATAACCAAGTCATGTCATGGCCCTTCTTTATCCTTGGCAACTTGGTTATGAAATCCATGGTAATGTCATTGCAATTACCTATGGGTGCTGGTAGAGGTTCCAAATACCCATACAATTTCTGGTGTTGTGCTTATATTTTCACAACTCACACATTCTAGCACGTAGGTTACTACATCTACTTTCATAGTTAGCCACTAGTAATTGGGTTTTAAATCCAAATACATTTTGGTTTTACCTAGGTGTATAGAATACGTGGTCTTTTGAGATTCTTCCATAAGACGATCCCGTATTCCACCCATATTTGGCACCTAAATATGATTTTGGAATGTCTTTAACCCTTGTTTGTTTTCCTCAAACACTAACGTCTTGCCTAGACATTCTTCCTTCTTATCACCTCATTTTAGAGCCTGGTCCAAGCTTCCTTGATCTTCTGAACAATCATCTAGATTACTTCAATCTTCAACGAACTACCTCTTTTCCGTTATGGATTCACCTTTCTGTTGAAGGCGTCGGTTACAATATTTTGTTTACAAGGTTGGTAAAGTATCTCACAATCATTGTACTTGAGTAGCTCCAACCATCATCTTTGCCTCATATTCAATTCCTTCTACGTAAGGAGATATTGAAGGCTTTTATGATCTATAAATAGTTTCCATTTGGTTTTGTAAAGATAATGTATCCAAATTATTACGGAAAAAACCATTGATGCTAGATCTAGATCATATGTTGGATAGTTTTGCTGGTAGGGCTTCAATTGTCTCGAGGCGTAAGCTACCACTTTGTCCCTTTACATAAGGACACACCCCAATCCAACTCTAGAAGCATCACAAAAAACTCCAAAATCATCAGTTATTTCCATTAGGATGAGGATTGGTGCTTCACATAAGCGCTTCTTCAATTCTCCGAAAGCCTTTTCTTGCTTCTCGGTCCAAGTATAGGAAACTCCCTTTTTGGTTACGATTGTCAGTGGAGCCGCAACATATGAAAAGATTTGGATGAACCTTCGACAGTAACCTACAAATCCTAAAAAACTACATATTTTAATGGGACTCCTTGGCCTCTCCAATTTCATAACAGATTCTATCTTTGTTGGGTCCACCATTATGCCCTTCTAGCTAACCACGTGACCCAATAATTGTGTCTCCCAAATCCAAAAGTTGCAACTGGAGAACTTTTCATATTGCTTCTCCTTCTTTAGGACTTCTAATACTTCTCGGAGGTGTTAATTGTGATCTTTACTATTCATGGAGTAAATCAAGATGTCATTGATGAACACTATTACTGATTTATCGAGAAAAGGTTTACAAACTTGATGCATCAAATCCATGAATGTTGATGGATCATTTGTTAGTCCAAAGGACATAACAAGGAGCTCATAGTGTCCATACCTTGTTCTAAAGGTTGTCTTTTCAATGTCTTGCTCCCTTATCTTCAGCTGATGATAGCCTGGCTTGATATCGATTTTGGAGAAAATGGTTGCTCCCACTAAATGATCAAACAAGTCATTTATCTTATGTAAGGGGAATTGATTCTTTATCGTAGCCTTGTTTAGCTCTCAATAACCAATGTAAATTCTCATCGTACCATCCTTCTTCTTTACGAATAGTATAGGAGCTCCCCATGTAATGTAGTAGGGGTACCAGTCCACATAAAACCAAGTTGGTCGAGCATCCAGGCCTGCCTGCCGGAGCACAAGCATCTACCTAAATGATGAGCACTAACGCAAGAATCACCCTATCATCGTAGACACCCTATAAAGCATCTCCAGGAAACATGGAAAAAAGAAATACTAATTTAATAGAAAAGGAGGATACTATCACAACATGAAGATTAATGCAAAACCCAAATAGAAGAAGCCAAGAACTGGTCCAAACCTTTGCTTTAAAAATGAGCCTTCACTGAAAGGTAAGTAGGTAGCACTGTAAGCA